AGGACCCTAATGGTCGCCCTTGTTGTTCCGCGCGGGAATATTATTTGAGAGTAGGTAGGCTTTATTGCCCACAACCCGATACCAATCATCCAACCCACTGGGTGTGCTTCTTAGCTTCCCGGCCCTAGATGTGCGGTTGATGACAGCACTCCAAGTGCTCCAAGTCCAAGTCTACGCCCGGTGGGTTACGACGTCCCGAAAAAAATGATCTGTGATCTGTGAGGGTCCGCCCGCAGGCGCATTTTGTATACCGAGGCGGTGCCCGGTGCCGAACCTAGTCGGACCTTGAGACAGCGTTGTAGATCCCTGGGCGAGGGTGATGGCGTCCCCGTCGGGAAGGGCTGTCTGCAGTGGTGGTCTACCGTCACCCCGCCAGCGGCCCGGCGGGTTCGGCTTAGACCTCCACTGTCTGTCGGCGCCAAACCACCTCCCACGGAGGCGGGCAGGTTCCACGCGTGAGCAGACTGCCCCGTTGGAGGTAGGCCGCTCGTCTAGCCAATCAGCCTTAAGCGAGCGGCCTGGCCGTTGGAATGGCCGAGAGTGTCGGCCGGCCGTTCGGTCTCTTCCCCGGGGGGGGCCTCAATGACCTAGTTGCCCGGCCGAGAAGGGGAGGACGACTGTCCCTGACGGACTAGGTGGGGTCGCAGCTGCACCTCTGCGCGTCCTGGGGAGGGACAAAATTGTCGCCGCCGGAGACGACTCGACGCCGCTGAGATCGGAGATCAAGCTCTGACAGGTCGCACGTCGCTTCTTTGACGCCGACGTGACTCACCCGTGCAGATCACATCAGGACACGGTCTCGACACGCTCGGTACGGCGCCTGCGACCCGTCTTGGGTCAGGTGGCACGACGCTCATCGCGCCTACCAGCGCTGCCGTGCAGGTTGCCACGACGAGGTCGATCACGCTTCTATACGCTCGCCCAGCCTTCCTTTCCATCCCATTAGGCAGCCTGGGAACGGTGGCGGTCAGAGGCAAAGCCTACGAGGGGTGGTGGAACCACATGTCACGGCTACTGCCGGCTCGACCCCACGATAGCCTCCGAAGGCTGACTTTGAGGCACAATCATCGGACGACGTCGGCGAGTTGAGTCGCGCTCGCGGTAGCCAGATGACCTCTCATACTAGTATCATCGGCCATGGCCGCAGGAAGCGCGGGGGAGGGCGCTGGGAGCAACACGGAGCTCCGTTGGACGCGTTTTCAAGATGAGCGTGTCAGAGTGAATTGGAACTAGCCAGAATGGCACGGCAGCTAACACGTAACAGTAGACTCGGGGCTACGGCTCTACACGCGTACGGAGGATTATAGAGTAGCAGTAGGGCTCCGCTCTGAGCCTCTCTGACTCGTGACACGAATCTCTCTGTGCCCGGGCACACACTAGACGGGTGTGTCAGACTCGTGTTCCGGGGAAGCGACGCCGCCCTCGCCCGCCGCGGCGGCCAGAGCGCTCGGCGACGGCGGTGCGGGCGCAGACGCGGGCGCCGGCGCCGGCGCGGCGACTGGCGGGGCTGGCGGAGGCGGCGGCGCCTCTGGCTGGGGCGGCGGCGGCGCTGCTGGTGGTGGTGGTGGTGGCGCTTCGGGCGGAGCCAGCGGCGCCTCCTCAGAATCATCTGAGCCCGCCAGTTCCTCTGGCTCGTCCGAGCCGGCGAGCTCCTCCGGCATCGCACCCGCATCGCTCACGTCGATCTCCTCCGGCGGCGGCGCCGGCCAGTCCTGGCTTAGGTGCACGTCGGTGTCCGCACCGCGGGCAGGGGTTGTATCCAGCCCTGATCCTAACAGGGCTGGGGTGCTGGCAGGGGTAGCGAGGCTGGCAGGGCTGGCGGGGCTGGCGGCGCCATTCCCGATGGGGGAAACCTGGGGCGCCGCCACACGCGCTGCTGGCTCCTTGAGAGAAGCTGCCTGCTCCTCCTGCCTCTCTGCCGCCTCCTCCTCTGCCCCGGTCGCGGGGCTCTCGCTGGACCGCGCCAGCGGCTGCTCGACGAGCAATGCCAGGGGCTCCTTCCCCACCCTCGCCTCGGGAGCCGGACCGGGCGGCGCGCGGCCCGGCGGCGCAGCCTACTCTCACCAGCCATTCCTGAGTCACGAGGCATTCTTTAAGGCGCTTTCGTCCGCCGGCGGAGGCTCCGCCGGTCGCGTCGCCATTGCCGCCAGTTTTGCCTCGAGCGACTCGAGCTCCGCCCGCAGCGCCGCCGCCTTGGCCGCCTTGGCCGCCTTGGCCTTGTCGGTGATGGTGGGGTCGCCTGCCGTTTCACCCGGGCCGGAACTTCCCTGCCCGTTCGCGGTGCTGCGGTCGCCCTCGTTGCTCTGGCTCGCCTTCGTGGTGTGCGCGACGTTACTCGCGAGCTCGACCAGCACCGCGAAGCCCTCGCTGCGGTCGCCCTCGTTGCTCTGGCTCGCCTTCGTGGTGTGCGCGACGTTACTCGCGAGCTCGACCAGCACCGCGAAGCCCTCGCCCGCCGCCGCCTCGCCCGCCGCGTCACCCGCAGCGGCGGCGGCGCCTGGCGTCTCCGCTTCCGCCGCCTCCGCCGCCTCCTCTGCCTGCACCGCCTCGACCGTCGCTCCCTCCTTCGCAGCACCCTCCGCCGCGTCGACGAAGCCGCTCGGTGGAGGCTGCACCGTCAGCGAGAGCGGCCGCGCGGACCTAAGGAGACGGGTCTGGTGAGCTGGAGCTTGGTGGGGAAGGGCGAGCACTCGCGTAGCAGAGAGTGCGGGCACGCCTCTGGAGCACGAGCATCAGCTCCTCCGCAGTGAGGCCGCTCACCTACACCCGAGCAAGGCTCGAGATCTACACGCGATGTGCAACCCAGACCGACCCCTCCTCCCTGGGCCGGGTGTGCGCACGTCGATGCCGTTGAGCGCGAGCACGGTTGAGGAAGGCGGCACGCCCTGCTCGAGCGCCGCGCAGGCGGTGGCCTCGAGGCAGAGGG